ATATTTGACAGTTGGCTTTGTAGTTTGAAAGTTTAATCAAATAAATGCAAATTCCTATTACTATTTGACAGAATTATATAATTTAACTATTATTGTTAAATCTGTATTACATTCTCATTCCTAATATCTACCTCAAGATTCTTTTAGTAAAGAATTTTATCATTAAACTACTTATAGTTATAAACAAATTTATTGGTATAGCACTTAATTTGAAAGAATATTACTTCATCACAGAATACTCCCTAGGAATTGACAATGTTTAACATTTACATTTTCAAATTTGCCATGATTTACTAAATATGGGTTTGTTAGTTTATTTATGAAGTCTTAAAAAAACCATTTTACATGATATTATTGGTGTACGCTTTTGAAGAAATGGACTTTTTTGTAAAATCTAGAAGAAGAAAGTTTTATTTAAGTATATATTTTAAACTAGAATATTTTTCTTACATGCTTTTATGTTTGCTTTTCTTTTAAAGTTAGTTGGCATACAATTGCTGGTTGTGTGTTTTCCTTTCTCAATTTTAATAATGGCTTCTATTTTTTAGATTAAATGGATACACTTGATTCTTTGGAACTGATTTGCTGCATATATTTTCCTTTTCTTTCAGCTCCGCTCATCCCCAGAAGCAAAAATCATTTCACTCGCATGGATATCCGGTGAGGTGATGCTTTCTGATTTATGAAGTGATTTCTCTCAATGCTTCATCTCTACATGATTTCATGGTAATTTCTATTGCATCAAAATTTAAATAAAAATGTTACTATCTGCTCATTGCGTGTTGCAGTGGAAATAAGCACCATGCAAATTTCTAAAATAAGCTCAATTAAGAGAATTTCAAATCTTAAATCTTGCAATCTTGTGTAGCCATCGGTTTTATACTTTTCCTGTAGAAACTGTGCTTTATTTTTCCTCTTCCTTTTCCTTTCCTTTCCTTTCTTTTTTTTTTTTCTTTTTTTTGCAATTCTTTTGATTTGTTTAGCTTTCCCACAACCATATTTCAACATTTTGAATCTATTTAGTGGATTGTATGTGTTTCTATCACTCACAATTAAGATTTGTATAATGCAATTATTACAATTTGTTGCATTGTTTTCTAAAGTTGTTCTTATATTACATTTTTAGCTCAAAATGTCTTGATTCTTGTGCAAAATGCTTAGACTTTTGTTCTTTTGCCCCGTTGCTCCACAGTGAGGAGTATGCCTTCCGATACTGCATGGGGAGAAGTTTTGTCTAGCAAGTGAAATCTATTGTTAAGCGAAAATTTTGTGAATTGATGAGTCCTTGGTTGGTAGAAGCACCATAACTATATATATACCAAATTATGATATTTGTGTTCCCATGTAGTTGATGTTGTCATAAATCAGAAAGTGATTTTCAAAATCATTTTTTAAATTTCTTTTTTGGGTAAATAATGACATAATAGTTTCTATGATTCTCAAAATCTCTACATTTTCATATCCATACTAAAACTTCTTTTGTGATTCAACCAATGGAATTGGAGGAAGTTTTTCCAGATTGATCCAAACAGTGAAGAGGAAGGTGATGTTGAGGTTAAACACATAGAAGATAAATGGGTATGCTTGATAATTCTGCAATCTTTATTTCACTCTTTTATTTTTCTTTTTCGTATGTTGTTTAATTGTATGCATGATTGCATGTCTGTCTGCACTTGAAAGAGTGTTTAGACAAAAATTGTTTCGTTCATACATCTATTGGGACTTATATTGGAGTTATGAACCTGTTCATTATTGACTAGTGTTTAGAAGAAAAATTATCTGTATGGTGGTAATATTGTTTGTGAAAATTCCAAGGTGAAGCAATTCACTTGGAGGAGACAAATGGAGTGGTGTTGTATAAGAACAAATGTCTACACATGGTTTCTATTGATCTTGGGAGGAGATATGATAAAACTTTAGAGTGAAACCTTAAAAAAAAAAAAGAGGGTTTAAGTCGAACAAAAATTGAATATAAGAAGTTGACCATTTGTAGTAAAATCTGAGGTGGAAATAAAGAAATAATTGATATTGAAGGATGAGATATACCCATCAGCTAGTAGTTCAATTCAGTCATACAAACAGCAGGAAGAGATTGGTGTAAATGTGACTTTATAGAATTAGGTTGTTAATAATTTGGGAATTTTACATGATCAAGAAATACCTGTGAGATTTATAAGGAAAAATCTTGCAAGATAGATATAAAACCAGTTTTACTGATCCATAATTTATTTTTGGTGGCACAAGCACTAGCTAAATAGATCCATCCTAACAAAACAATCCAAGCTCAATTAGAATAATTATATAGAAAAATTTGAATTAAATTTTATCAACAAAAAGCCAATGATGCTTGTATAATTAATTTTTAAAAATCCTATCTAAACCCTAACAAGAACTCAATTACAAACACGATTGTCCTTGCACCAATTTATTCTGGGCCGTTAAAATGCCTCCAACTCTTTATCTTAGGATATCTCAATCCTAGACCCCTAGAACATCTCCAACAATTTACCTTTGGATGGTTGGAATCGGTTGTTAAATAGTTAATTCTTGTCAAAAAGGTTTCGTTGAGTCTTTAGTTTTTGAAGGTATTTTTCTTTTCTCCTTTTGAACTTTCTAAAGGTATTTTTTTCCCTTTTTCCAATGAAAAATAATCTTTTTTTTTATAGAGAAGAGTCCTAAAGAATGTAGAACTCTTAAAGGATAAGACTCTTTAAAAGATAAGGTTGTCCTATTGAGATAATTATGAAAATTTAGATTTTATATACTAAACATCTAAATCTAATCAAATCCAAATATTCCAAAAATTATTCTCCTTGCTCATTTACTTAATGGCATAGAATGTTGAGGAGTTCTAAGTTTGTATTTTAGCAAGATGAGTGTAACAACAATGAGAAAATTAAGATAGATGTCTATAAAATTTGGAAGAATAGAATTAGAAGTGGCTAAATTAGAGAGATGACGGAGGAAAATAGGCTAAGTTGGTTTGGACATGTGCAGCTTAAACCTATGAGGCCTTATTCAATGCCCACGCATAGCACTTGGATTGGACTGCTAATCCCACAAGACTACCAGTCCAAGTAGGTATGTCAACGAGTCAGATTCGGATCAAATCAAGATGATCTGAATCTGAATCCGATTATTAATGTATATATCCGAAGTCAATCCAAAATCTTATAGAATTTCTACTTATTATTACTATATCTAAATCTGATAAAAATCCGAAATCCGAATAAAAAATTCGATCCGAATAATAATTAAAATCAAATAACCAATAAGTAAAAAATATATAAAATCAAATAAATTGTTATTTATGAATGATAAAAATTCATGTAAGATTTATGTTTAATTATTCTTATTTTATTAAAATATAATTAAAATTCAGAATAAATTGTCATTTATGAATGATTAAGAAGAACTTTTGTTATATAATATATTACAAAAGTTATGGCAGGATTCCGGTATTTTATAAAATTATCAAGTTTTATTTGTATTATAGTTAGAATTTAAAAAATTTTGTAATCAATTTAATCAAGTGTTTCATGAAATTTCAAAGGTAATTAATTATTAATGTAATTCCTACTTGAAAAACTAAATTTAGGGAAAGTAAAAGAATATTATAGAAATGTTTAGAAAAAAATATACATCATTCTATCAAATAAAATACCTCACAAATACAAATTAGTACGTTATTAACTATAATGTCATATATATTATATTATATATAAAAGGATTTATTAATATATATGATTATTAATTAAATAAAAATATTATTAAAATATTCATATTCAGATTTTTAACAGATCGGATTGCTTAATTCCATATTCAGTCTACTTATTTCGGATTATGGATATTTATAATCGAATTTAATCCATCGGATATTTTAATCAGTTAAAGAGTCTAAAATTTGGATGACATTCGCATTAAAATCCAACCCATTGATAACCCTAAATCCAAGTGTTTAATTCCAACTCAGATAAGTGCCTGGGACTATTTCCTTGTTTGATAAATTGGGAATCGAATGTGGGATTATTTATTCCCCTCCACCTAGGATTATACTGTTCCCATGGAGGGGGGCTATAACTTTTGGATCTTCATCCAACTGTCAAAAATTTGTAGTTCGCATGTTCTCTTATCTATGTAATGGCCAAGCGTTTATAAACTCACCTTCTGCTACCTTATCCCACCAATAATGTTGAGCATTATCAAGCACACTGCAATCCACTCTTTATTTCACTATCAAATCTCACCTTATCCTACCATAAGAGACCTAGAACATAATCTTACTATTTTCAATCCTTAGTCCTAACTAATAATCCAATCCTTATCAATCCCATTGATGATTAGACAAGGCCTAAGTACTTTGGTTAATAAAGTGATACTAATATAGAGGATGAATAGTTTAACAATAATTTGGGTTAAGATAGTAAAGAAAGATCTCCTATTAAAGTTTGCCTATTAAAAACACTACATCTCATTATACATGAAGTGTTATCAATTTTAGCTGATTAATTAATCATCTTAGACCAATTTCATTTCTTCCTTTATTCTATCCCTTGATGTAGATTTTTGTGGCAACATTGGTGCATTTTGTTGGATAATTAAACTTGATTTGGCCCATATAATTTTTTGGACTTAGTTTTTTGGTCTTGCACAAATTAATTACATTGGAGCCCAATGAATCCAAATTCTAGAAAGCCTTCTATCTAGAATAGTCATGAGAAAATATCTAGATATTTTGGTAGAGAATTCTAGAGAGGAAATTATAACCATTTAATGAAAAATGTGTTGGCACAATACCAATCATGCATTGTGGAGGTGTCACTAGTATAAATAAGAGTAGATCTTTTCATTTTCTAGCAATCCAAAACTTGAAAATCAATAAAAAGTCCTTTTGTATATTACTTTCTTTTTCTAAAAATTCTCTCCTCCTAAATATCTCATAGGTTACAAAAGCATCCACTTCCAATAGTATTCTAAGGTGTTAGGTGATTGGTAATTTTATGGACATCACCCAAGATCAGAAGCAAATTATGATTCTCTGGAACGATTTTGTAAGGAGACAAGGGTAATCTTCTATATCTATCTTCCATTGGCATGCCTTTGCAATTTTTTTTTTTTTTTTTGGAAAAACTGCACATATTTTATTGCCAATGATCTAAGGATCAGTCAATGCAAAAAGAAGTATAAAAGATTTACAAAACAACCCCCCACTAAACACCTTTTTTCATTTTCAAATCCAACCAACCACTTCATCATGGCATATTCTTATTTTCTGTGATTTCTCAAAAGATCTCCCCTATAATTTGCCTTATTCATTTTTCAGCAAGAGTTTATTTTTTGGCTTTTATTGAAAAGGTTTTGTATTCATTATGATGGCAGGGTGATAGTAGATGCTCATGTTCCTTGGGCATGTGAGGCATTTTCAAGATTCCATGGTCAGAACCTTGTCCGGAGACCTGGAGAGCTTTGGTATTTTCTCTCCTTGCATATTTTCTATGTTGTGACTACTCAAATTCAAGCATATATTTTGTGTTTCTCTTTTGCATTTGTGGGATTTCCTATTTTCACATGTGAATTAATGCTACCAAAAATTTACTTATTCTATTATGTACAAGAGATAATGTCTGTGCAATTCTTGTGCAAACAAGGTGCTCAATTTTTCTTTAATTTTTAGAATATAATTAAAAATAAAAGAAATGAAACTATTTCATTTAAGTGATTTATTGATGACGTAAATTTTCTAATTTGAATGGGGTGTATGAACTTGGCAGGTATTGGAGATTATTTTTGATTAAATTATGGAATGATAATCTCATCGATGCACGAACAATGAACAATTGCAATCTAATACTAGAAAGGTATCAAGGCAATGTTCCAGCCTCGGCAAAAGGCTAAACATGCAGGGGTAAGTTTATTTCAATAGAGAGCTAGCTTCTACAGTAGTTGTTCCTTGGCTGAATTTCTTTAGTATTTTCTTCTGTAACTAAAGAAATGTAGAGGCCGGGAGATAAAGAGTGTACACAATCAATTAATTAGTCTTGTCAATGGGTCGGAATTGATTTGGATCCTGTTCGATCATGTCAGACTTGAGAACTCCACTTGGGAAGACATCTAATGAGATCACATACGTTAAATTTGCTTTTAAAGAATATTTGGTCTGGGTATATATTTGAATTTCTTTTAACGGGTTCAAACTTGTTAAACTGGCTTCAAAGATATTTGATTTGGGTATATATTTCAATTTTTTCTACTTTTTATTTGCTCTAATTTGATAATTTTTGAATTGGCTAGTGTTGTCAAGGGTTTGTTTGGTAAATAAGTAAAATTGAAAATATTTTTTAACTTATAGATAAAGAAAAAGAGAATTGTGAAAAATTGATTTTGAGAGAGAGAAATGTGGGAGATAATTGAGAAAAAGAGAGAAAAATTGGTGAGATTGATTTAAATTTATAAATAAGGAAAAGGTAAAAATTATTTTGCTCTCTTAAACTTTTTTCTCTATTTTGTTTACTTCTAAATTATTTATTATACCATTTACTCCATTGAAACTAATAAATTAGCCATAATATTTATCCTTATCTTAAATATTAACTTTTTAAAAATATTATTATTAGAATAGTAGTTGTTAAGATTTTAAAAAATATAAGTTAATATGTTATAATTGATAATAGATATTATTAAATGCATTTAATTCTAGATATTAAATTTCCTATTTTGCAATTACCATCGCAAAGCGCGTCCTAGAGTTGTCATTCACAAAATTGTTTGCCGTTCATTGTTCACAAAGCCATTTGCCGTTCATTGTTCATTGAGCCATTTATTGTTTGTTGTTCACAAAGCTCATCTCAGTCATCGTTTGTAGAGCTTGTCGTAAAGTTTCCATTCGTTGTTTGCCGAGCCCGTCATAGACTCATCATTCATAAATCGGCGAATAAATCATTAAGAATACAAAGGGATCAATGCAAAATCACCTTATTCACAAGAGGAAATTGAATGGTTGCATGAGAAATATGGACAAATTGTAAAAAATTATATTATTTTACCCTTTTTTATTGCATTTAATGGTGTTTGACAATGATAAATTGTACACAAGAGATGAATAGGATAGAGAAAAAAAATTAAGGAGGTAAAGTAATTTTTATTCCAAAGAGAGGAATAGAGAAATAGGACAGATAATTAAATAGATAGAATTAAATAAGGAAAGAAAGAAGGAATCTTAAAACCTTTAGTATGAAAGGAATTCAAAGAGGCAAAGTAATTTTTATCCAAAAGAAGGCATAGAGAAATAGAACTGATAAATAAATAGATAGAATTAAATAAGGAAACATCTTAAAACCTTTAATGTGAAAGGAAGTAAGATAGATACGTCGGAAAAGAATGTAAGATATGGTTGTCATTTTTAGAAAAAATAATTAATTATAAAAAAAATAAAAATATAAAAAAGAAGAAAAAGAAGAAGTATGCAATCAAAAATTAAAGATAAACTATATATGTATATATACTTACATATTTATTTATCTTTTCTTGTGTGTGACTTAATGTTGGGGGATTTAAAATGAAATAGATTTTAAAAATTTTTAAATTATGTTTATTTTTTACTCGTAAAATTAAAATTTGAAAATTTTAACTGAACTGATATAAAGATGAGCCATTTGAACAAATGTAACATCTTGTTGAGTGATGGAAATGGTGTTAAGACCTGTTAAATTTGAGACAATAATTTTTAATTATTTAAATCTAAATGATCTTTGAATTTTTACAAAGGTTACGAGACTGTGTTATTAGTAATAAATTGGGTGTAATTTGTTTGATTTACCGGCATTTTGGACTTTTGTACTAAAAAAGGGGTCATATATGGATCAAATAAATTAAATTCGAATCTGAATATAAATTTGATTCGAAATCCTATAGGATTTTATATTTATTAAATCATATTCAAATTCGCTAAAAATCTGATAAGAAAATTTGATTTAATAACTTTGAATTTTCTAATTTTCTTAATTTAATCTATATAACTTTGAATTTCTTAATATCATATATTAATATTGTATATATAATTTTATTAATTTAATAAAAATATTATCAACATTCGGATTTAGATCTTTAACAGATTGGATTGCTTAATTCCATATCCAATCAAATTATTTCACATTATGGAAATTTGTAATTAGACTTGGTCCATTGAATATTTTAATCAGATTTGAATACTAAAATTCAAATCAAATTTAGATAGTATTTGGATTAAAATTTAATCCATTGACAACCCTAATATTTTGTCAAAACTCTTTCTCGTATTTGATTTTTTTTAAAAAAAGAATAACTAAAATCCTTTATTAATCCATTAATTTATTTAATTTTGAACATATTAAAAGCATATATAAAAAAATTTAAGAAAAATTAATTGAATATTTATTTTTGACCTATCCTCAACGTAGTGCAATCAAATAATAAAATTTAATTATTTTATCTGAACTTATTTTTCTCTGGCTTATAGTTTTCAAAACCATTTTTTATAAAATATGGCACAAGTAATTTAATCAGGATTGCAAAGTTTATAAAGGCAATATCTCTTTTTAATACATCGATTATTATTAACTTTAAAATATTAACCTCAAACTTTCAATATATTAAAAAAATAAAATTTAAAACATTAAATTGCAATTGTTTATAGGCTTTTTTTGTGCAACAAATTCCCAATTTGTTCCAAGAGTTGAACTCTTTCTAAAGGCTCTAGTTTCTATTGCTTCAAAATTTTTTTCATAGTGATATTTTCTAAGAGGAAGGATAAAAGGATTCTAAATGGAACTAGGAACTCAGGGCTGCTCGCAACCACACATGACTCTAATAACTGGGATGACATCATCTTGTAAGTAGGAGTGTTCATCGAACTAAACTAAATCAACTAAATCAAATAAACAGAACTAAACCACGGTTTGGTTGAACATTATATGACAATCATGTGTTGGACAAATTCAACATTATATGAAAAGTAAACACTATTCAAAATAGAAAGATAAGAATTTATACCTTCCACTTATGAATCAAGGTAGATATGCAAGTATTTACTAGATACCAAATATTTCTTTTCAACTTCTAGATATAGTAGAAGATGGGAAAATTTGTTATACCTATGGAGAGAAGATCTAATCACTTACATATAGGCTCTGGTATTTTACTCATCAAAATATCACTGAGTTAGGTCGATACTATAAGTCCTTAATACCTTACAATAAAGTGTGTGACCCATCATATAAAGCCAAATAATTGGATCACTTAATATGAGCTTAAATCATATACTTTAATCTATGTTTTATAAAAATAAAATTAATCAATTACCATAAACTCATTATAAAATTTTAACATTCTCCCACTTAAATAAGTTAATTAAATAATTAATTAACGAAACTCATTGAGGAGAAGTGACAGAATTGTTGAAAGCATGGAAATGAACAAAGTGTGCGTTAACCCATAGTTTCTAGTAGAATTGTTCAAAGTCTTCTTCTTCTTCTTCAGTTTTTTTTCCTTTTCAGGTTTTTTGGGGAGAGGGGTGTTAAAAATTATATAAAGTCATGCCCGTCGTTTAAATCCTTCATCGAGTTTGGCTCATCCTTATCCAGTTTGTTCCAAAGTTGGATCAAATCCATTTCCAACTTGCTTTTATTCTTGTTCTTCCTGTTCTCTTACATAAATCAAAATCCAACACTTGTTAAACTTAGCTTGCTTCTCAAATAAGAAATCAAAGCATGGGGACCTGGAAGTTTGAGATCAACCTTATTTCAGCTAGTGATCTTGAAGATGTTCGGGAGTTTGGTGTGATGAAGGTTGCATCAATTGCAGGTAATGCAACATCATTACACGATTTATGAGCTTAAACAAAACGAGTGCTTAAGTATTCAATGGACCAAGAAGACCTCATTTTTAACTGCAGGTAACAAGCTAACAGAGAAGCGAACTCGAGTGGATTATGGCAGTGGCACTAATCCTGCTTGGAACTTCACCACCAAATACAACATCGGGAAGAAGGTTGTGCAAGAAGAAGGGGTCATTCTTGTGATCAAGCTATTCTGCATGCGAACTTTGCTTGCTGAGCTTTACGTGGGCGAGGTTCATGCTTCAACCAAACAACTCTACGAGCAAGCCATGACTAATGGTGGCGGCACAACCTTGACTTGCAAGGTACAAAAGGGTGGTGTAGAGTCCGCAGGAGAGTTCAAACTTTCATGTCATTTTGGAGAAGCAATCGTTAGTGAACTGAGTTTCTGGAGGAGGTCGCTGGCAAAGGGGGGATATGCCCCTTTTCTTTGATTCTGACAATTGGTTGGACTGAGGTCGTCGTAGCTTTAAATTTTTTTTTGTTATGGAATAAATTTTGTATTTTGTATTTATATATTTGTGTTTGATTTTTTTGTTGTTAGTTGAGCTTTATGATTTAATTTTTATTTTAAAAATTAAAGCTCAATTCTCAAGTATTTATTTTCACTTGGTAATAGTAATTTTTTTTAACTTCAGTTTTTTTATGGAAAAAAATATAATACTTAATTCAAATTTTTTACATGTAATTCTTGTCATTTAAATTTTTTTTCTAAAACTACTTTTTAGATTTGTTAAATAAAAATTTTTACTTATTTATAATAGAAAAGTATATTTAAGAATTTTTTTTAGTTACAATTTCCCATGTGCTAAGTAATTTATGAAATCTAATTTAGATGATAAATTGATAAGTGACTTTGTAACATAAATTTGATTAAAAAAAAGAAAAAGAAGATTTTCGATACTGGTGGGTGTTGGTTGTTGCCTTGGCTGTCACACATTGTTATGTGTAGGAAGGGAGGGGTGTGACACACCATTATTTCCTAATCACCATCTTAATCTAGCTTCCCAACTCCCATTGAATC